TGCCTCGATGGCCTCACGCGACCCTCGCCTAGGCGTGGGTGGTGTAGGAGCGCTGACTAAAGCGTCGATTATCTCGTAAACGGCAAGAGTGGTTACGGGCTACAAATGAGGGGAATGAAAGTTCGAAAAGAAGTGAACGCAAACCGCTTCAAGAACAAAAGGATTGTTCTTTGCGACGCGGCGACATTTTGGCGCGCTTCTGCCGGTGTTGTCGGGAAGGGTACCCGGCGCGTACCCACGCCGGGCTGCGCCGGGAAGGTGAAGGTACCGGCCGGTGTAGAGTACCGGCTCCCGCGGCAGCCCAGCGGTGCACCGTTACGTCCTCGGCCGCGGTGGGAGGGGGAGGGGGGGAGGGCCATTTGTTGGACCCCGTGTGTACCCGTCAGGTCAATCAATTTGGGCCGGCCGCTAACACATTGGGGAGGCTACGGGCGACAGAGAACGCCGTCGTCGTGACCCCTGTGCTGCACATCGCTCGGGATGCCTCTAGCTGCCTCGGGCCCTTCTTGACCTTGATACGACACGGATACGGGCCCGGCCCGGCCCAGCCTGGCCGCCGTATCAACGAGTCCAAGTTGAAGTTGAAGGGAGTTCCATCGGGTTGGCCTCACAACCCGAACTCTGAACGTGATCCTTTTTCGCTCTGCCTCCTCCAGTGCGCTCGCGCCTTTGCTTGCTGCTCCGACTGTACAGTCCTACTTGTTGCTGGCCTTCCTGGCGTCCTTTCGGCGCAGCGCGCAGCGGGGCCAGTAGGGGAGGCAGCGTGGCGCGGGGGAGAGGCTGTGCCGGGCTGTGCACTGCTGGGGGTGCCTGGGGTGCCTGGGGTGCCGTGGCGGACCGGGTCGCCCAGGCCTGCGTTCCTGCGTCCTCTTTGTCTGTCAATGTCTGAATGGGCCGAGCCGAGCGTCGCGCAGCGTCGCCAACCTGGCTGCTGGCAGTCACCTGGCACGCCACTGGCAGTGACTCAGGGGCCTCCAATTGCGGATGATGCAACATCGGCCACCTCGCCGCCAATGCGCCAAATCCACCCTCGGATGCAGGCAACGCAGCGCACCCCAGCCGCCCCCACCACCCCTCGTCGCGCCGAGGCGGGTCGATACGCAGCCAAGGGTGTGCGCTACGCGGCTACGCGCTTCGGGTGGCGCGGCGCTGGGCACTTCGGGTGGCTTCGGCTCCCCCACGTTCACCCTCGGCTGGGAGGCTCGCCGGCGCGTCGCCGCGTCGGACAGGCAGGGCTGGCAACAGCAACACCCTCCCTCGGCTGCCCTCGGCTCCCTCGGGTTCGGCTGGCTGCCGCCGCTGCCGCAGGCTGCCGCCTCCGTGGCTGGGCTGCCTGGCTGCCTGTCCCGAGGGGGCGGAGCGCGGAGCAGGCAAGCCAAGGCAAGCTCGGCCAGCACGGCCCTAGGCTGGCGGCCGGGCAGCCCGGGCTGGCAGCCGGTACAGCTCGTTCGCCGCGACGAGGCCGCAGAGCTCCGCGCTCAGCCATGCTTCTGCTCACGCACCGGCGGCACGCGGCACGCCGCTCTCACGCACGCCGCCCGGCCCGCGTGTCTCCAGCCAAGCACTCCGACGAGTCTCCGAGCCGCGCAGCTCGACTGGGCAATTGAATTTCGGAGCCTGTGTGCAATGCACTGTCGCCGCGTCGCCGCCCCGCCGATATGGCCCTGGACGTTGAGTTACGACCTTACGACCGATTCCCGAGCGCGACTCCTCTCTCTCCCTCGCACTCGTGGGGCGCCCCGCGTGCGTGCGAGAGAGACAGAGCGACCGGCCAGCAGGGATGGCCAATCGATCTCTGCCTTGTGTGCGTGCCACACTGCGTGCCCCTTCGCCCCTTCCGTCATTCTCTTGTTGGTTTTACTACCGCCTCGTTAATGATGAATACCTTCGCGGAGTCAAGGCTGCCTGTCCCTGGCTCGTCTCGGCTCGTCTCACCTGGTGGCTGTCTCACCTGCAGCGCCTGCAGTGCCTGGACTGCAACACCCGCGCCTCGGCGTTGGCTGCCTTTTGTGTGGAATGCACGGCGCGCAGCACCGCGCAGCGAGCGTCCCACCAACTCTACACTGTATAAAATCAGCAGACAAAATGTCCAAAATGTCGAAAATGTCACCTTTTATTCATCAACGTGTAAAAGTGCATCGCCACTGGCGGCTTGAGCTGGAATACGACACGTTGCGGGCAGTGCAAGTTTTCAGTCGTACTTCAAATCGACTCTGGGAAATGGGTGATTAGATTACTTGCCGGATTTCTTATCTCACGAATCGGCACTTCCTCGCCTCCTCCCAGCAGACCGTCCGCACTGTACAAAGCGCCTGGTCATTCACGGTGCAGCAGCAGGTGTCTCCGGCGCGTCAGCGCGTGTGTCGGGAACTGTTTGCTTGTTGCTGTCGTGTCAAAGTGTCAAACGAGCGCTGTTGTTGCTAATTGTCATTGTTTGGAGGCCGGCTCGCTTGCTCGCAGTACACGCAGTGCCGCCGAAACTGCCACCGAATGGCAAATGCAGGACGGTAGGGTGTATTCCGGGAGGATGACGCAACGTTGCGAGACCCGCGGCGAGGCGCCAAGTAGGCGCGCCGACCGCGACTTCGTACGATCCGCACCGCGCAGAATGCGAAACGAAATCCAGCCAGCCCATTGTTTGTGACTAAAGTGCACTCGACACGAAACCACACTCGCGGCTCGGCTCCGCGGCGCTGCGGCCGTAGGGCGCTGCGCTGGGCTCGTGTCAGGGTCAGCTCGGCTCAGCCCGCGGGCCGGAACATCGCTCTAGCCTCTCTATCTCTGTCACACTCGTGCGAGTGAGAGAGGCAGCGACGGAAGCGCCAGCTTATCTCAGGTGCCCGCGCGTGTCCGGTACAGTTCGCTCTTTGCGCTTTTCGGCGGGGCGTTTCTCAGCCTAGCCGGGAACGACGTATTTTAATTCGTGCTAGTGCAACACTCTAGTAAGAGGGACTACAAAAGCATAAAGAGAGCGGAAAAATATTGAAAGCACTATTTTCTGAGATCGTTGCGAGGCACCTGTTGCACGGTTGCACTGCGCCTTGCCGACGGACGCGGCAGGTCTTCAAGAAACTGAAAAAGTTGCCCTCCCTTTCGTTCCTGCGCCTCATTTACTCGCCGTCACGTCTCCCCCGCTGCACTTCATGCGTCTGCACTTTCGGATGGCGTCGCGGCCGCACGGCCACGGCACGGCCGGCACGCAACTACCGGGTGTCTCGGAACGGCGCGGTGCCAGGCCAGGCCAGGCTGGAGGTGCATCGAGGTGCACCTACACTGACAGTGCAGTGCCTTGGCGGTGCAGCGCGCAGACGGGGCGACGGCGCCGGCGCGGTTTTACTGTCGTCAGCGCCGTTCTGAGACGGGCCGGCGCCTGCAGGCCTGTCCTGCAGGGACGCACTTGCGCGATGAAGCGCGGCGGCCAGGCCGTGGCCAGGTGAGGCGCGCGGCGTGCCGTGGCGGTGCTGGTGCGGGGAAACCCCCTTCCCTTCCCTTCCCTTCCCTTCCCTTGAGCGGCCGTTTCGCACTCCTCTCGCCGGCCCTTGGCGGCGGCCCTTGGCGGCCCTTGCCACGGCGGCCCGGACGGGTTCGGTCGGCCGCTTTCTCCGAGGGCCAGCCGGCCAGCCAGGCAGGCAGCTCGCCGAGCCGGCCGCGGGCAATGCAGGGCACGGCCAGGCACGGCCAGGCACGGCGCAGGGCCGCGCACCGCCAGAGCACCGCGGCCCCGAAAGCACGCCGCCGCAGTGCCGCGGCCGGTCATGTCGCGACCGCGCGCCGCGGGGGGAGAGGAGGGGAAGGGTCTCCGGGATTGCAGTCCAAGGACGCGCAGACGCGCGGCCGGCCGTTCGCGTGGGCCACGGGCCGCGCGCCGCGCGAGAGGACGCCGCCGGCCGCCGCGCCGCGACGTACGCCTTTCCCCACGACAGGCACCTGTGCCGCCCTTCCCTGTCCACTCCGCCGCCCTTCTCCTCCTTCTTCTCGTTTCGCCGACACCCTTTTGCCCTTTCGCCTCGTTCTCGCCGGAGACTTGAACGCTCGCGACTGCCGAAGAGCGGCGGCCCGGGCCGAACCTCTGGCGCTGGTGTTGTTGTTGTTGGCCGTGCTGCGGCGGGGCGGGTCCGCACCCTCTATCTGCAGTGTGCTGTCCAGAGATCAGAAGATCTGCCAGAATGTGACGCCAGGACCCGTCAGAGCGCGACGCGCGGGAGCGCGCCCCCAATGTCCAGCGTGAAAAGTCACTCGCGCCCGGGGTATCGCCGCTCGGCCGCTTCTGTCGCGGCGTGTCCGTCACATCCTCGCGGGTCCCTTGATGGTGGGCGTTGACGTCCAATTGGCTGGCAGTGGCGTGGAGCACTCGCGTGAGCATTCCAATGACGGCGGCGCCGCGCCGGCCGCGCCACGGGGTGCCCGTCGCTCAGTGTGTCGCGGGTGGGCGGTTGGGCGATCAGCTGCCCGGCCGCCCTGACCCCGCCCGACGTCGCCAAGGCAGCCAAGGCCGTCGCCGTGCACGCGGTGCTCGCGGTGCACGGGGGGACGCGGGAAGGGGGAAGTGAGTGACCAAGTGGGAGGAGGGGAGGGGTACCTGGAGGGGGACCGGATGAGATGCGATATGGTGTGACACAACTTTTTCGCCGCCAGTGTTTCTTTTTGTCTGTTTTCTTTTGCGGTCGTAACTTTTGGTCGGCACGCGCGCCCGATGGCCGATCGACGGCCGGCACGCTTCTTTGATGGGCTAGACCCGGTTTGCTTTGGGAATTCGGGTGGCCTATGCTCGACTGGCCGTGCCAAGTCGGGCGTTGTCTACCCGGTTCCAGCGCGAGCCTCGCGAGCCCTGCCGGCTTGCTGCCGCGGCTGCCGCTAGCGGTAGAGAAAGAGAATAACCCGTTTGGGTGTGCGCCAGCGCGGCCAGCTCGGCCAGCGCGCGCCGAGGACGCAGTACGGAGACCTAGCATTATTTCAAATGGACCGGTCATTTATATTGGCTTTTTTTTGTGTGTTGGCAGGCAATGATGTGTTACACGCCAAAGTGGCTGTGGGACGCTTGGGAAGGCGGACTCGTCCGGACGCTGTCCGGGGGCCTGCACCAGAGCCTGGTTCCCGAGAAGGACAAGGAGAAGAAGAAGAAGGTCCTCATCGACTACTTGCTGCATCACTGTGAGGTATGTGATTCACTATCGAAAAGAATTTCGTTCAAATGTGCAAGTTCTACTCCCCACACCAGTGGCGCTTGGCGGCCGCTGGCGCCGGGTGGCGATACTCCCTGCGCTGGCGGCGCTCGGCGCGCGGGGTATCTCTGTGGCAGTTCGTTGACACCGCTCCTTCCACCTGTTGCAGCGCCACAACACGTACGCCATCCGCTACTTCCTCTGCGAGACGCTGTGCCTGGTCAACATCATCACCCAGCTCTACATGATGAACTCGTTCTTCGACGGCGAGTTCTTCAGCTACGGCCTGCGCGTCATGACCTTCTCGGACCAGAACCAGGAGGAGCGCGGCGACCCCATGGTGTTCGTCTTCCCGCGCGTCACCAAGTGCATCTTCCACAAGTACGGTGCGTCCGGGACCATCCAGAAGCACGACTCGCTGTGCCTGCTGCCGCTCAACATCGTCAACGAGAAGACGTACATCTTCATCTGGTTCTGGTTCATGATCCTGGCCGGGCTGCTGACGGTGCTGGTGCTGTACCGCGCGCTGCTGCTGAGCGCGCCGTCGCTGCGCCCCAAGGTGTTCCACTGGTGGCACAAGCTGGTCCCCATCGAGGTGGCCGAGGCCCTGTCCCGGAAGACGGACGTCGGCGACTGGTGGCTGCTCTACACCTTGGGCGACAACATGGACCCCCTCATCTACCGCGAGGTGGTGTCGGAGCTGTCCAAGAAGATCGAGACGGCCGCCAGCAACAGCTCCTGATCTCGGACCGGCCTCGGCCCTGGCTCAGGCCTCCTCCTGGGACAGGGCCGACAGGGCCCTAGCCCCGGCCGCCACCTCGGCGTCGACCCCCGCCCTCACCCCGCCCTCGACCAGGACATGGTCAAGGTCAAGGACAAGGTCAAGGACAAGGGGAAGGAGGCCGAGGCCGGGGCCATCGTTTGACTGTGATGTCTTGTAGAGTACGGCTACGGCACGCCGTCAGGTTCTGCCGAGTTGCTCGACGGGCGGGGCGACCTGTCCTGCCCCTGTCTGTCCGTTCTCTGTCCTCTGTGCTGCCAGAGTCTGTTTCTCGTCTCGCTTTTATCCGAATGAGTGCATGTGTGAGTGTGTGCGTGTGAATGTATGTGTATATGTGTGAGTGTTTATGTGCGTGTGTGTATGTGTGTGTGTGTCTGTGTGCTGCATTCATATTCTTACAATCTGTACAGAAGCATACGCCCGTATCGAGCTACTTGTGAATCCGATTGGGTGCATAGTTGTTTTATTTATTGTAAATGTATCGTCTTTTATGTCATGTCTTATCTTTCCTCTCTAGTATTTTTTATTGTAATTTGTTTCTTCTTGAGGTACAAGCTCCACAAGAATTTGCGGGAGACTAGTGCAGAGAATACTGTAGTTTCCCCTATTTTTCTACCATAAGACTGGATTATTCGGCAATAAGATAAATAACTATTTTGATATTCGTAGTAAATGTTTTCATTATGTTAAGAGACGAGATCTTATTGATGTTAAATATTGGCGGCTGTTGGTTGCAGTAATGCAAAGTTGTTTTATACCCTTATTGTGATTAATAATCGCTCAATTTTTCATTCAGAGCTTTTGTTGGACCAACCCATTCCGACATCTTCCTTGAAGTTTTATTTAAAGAGTTGTCTGCGAATGGCTAAGACAGTACATTTCTCTGCATGTTGTACTGTTCTTCATTGTATATACCCACTGTTTACATGATGAAAAGACTATTTTTTCAAAGCATTAAAACATATCATATGATTCCCGTTTGTTCCATTTGTGCAAGCACAAAAAAATACTTTTTGACGCATTGATGTCAACTCTTACAGTGTGGTGCAAAATCAATAAAATTTGTACTTTGATTCAGAGCAATGTGGTTTGAATTCCTCTCCCCACCTGATCTACCATAACTGAACTTGATAATAGCAATGTGCTAATCGACGCTGAAAGGCCCACCTAATTATATTGGAAATCTGGCAGAGAGAAATATGATAAAGAATGATCAAGGCAGAGCTCCAGAAAAGCTGGGAAACTGCTGATATCAATACGTAAATACTCCATGCCGGCGATAAAGCTGCACGCAGTGCGCGGGGTATCGCCACAGGCGGTGTAGTTCCAGGCTCCGCCGACAGGGGACGCCACCAGTCGCGTCGCGTTCGCTCTCGCTCTCCTCTCTCTCTCTCGGACCCGAAATCCCGGTCCCGGTGCCGGTGTGCGTGCAGTGCAGCGTGCTTGTGCGTGTGTGTGGTCCAGGTGCGAGTGGTGCGATGCGTTTGACGTTTGCGGCGCATGTGTTCAAACCCGAAGACCTTTGGTTTGTGTCAACCGTGAATTCAGTGCTGAAGAGAAATTCCTTTTCTCCAACTGACCGTCCGTTGGAAGCCCGACATCGAGAGGGTCTGCATGACGACGCGAGCCGGCATTCTGAGGCCAATCCGTCGAAAGGTGGGATAACCTCCACGGTCGCGCTTGGGTGACTTTGTGTTTTGTTTGTTTCGTTCTGTGACGTCTGGACTTGCGCTGCCACAGCGAGCATAGTGATCGGTAGTGTGTCAGCGGGGTAGAGCTTGAGATTTTCTGGTGCGTTCGTCTTAATTTGAGAACGAGAACTTACGGGAGAATTCACACCCCTAGAGAACCTAACCTATAAGTAGCCGGTGTCACTGCGCGCGGAAACTAACCGAAAAACAAAACGACAACGTAAAAACCCAAAGTGGGCTGCGATTTGTGGCGAGGTGGCGAGCGATAACGTGACTTTGGGACTGAATGTCAGAAATATTTTCGAAGCGTAGAGAGACATATTTTAATGACATTGGTCATTTTCCTACAGAATGTTGGAATGTGCAGCGTCTCTGTGGTAGACACGACAGATTCAGTTTTCGGTTAATGCGAATCCACCCTCGCCCCTATTTCACCCCGTGTCTGCCTTTCCTTTCCAACCTATTTCAAACTGCGGCCGTGCCCCCCTCCTTTTCGACAAGGATGGCAGTGGAGTGGACCACTTGCACCCGCAGCAGTTGGACGTGGCCGTCGTCCCGGCTGCGGGCCGTTTCAGGACGGTGCTCTGTCTCTCTCGCACCTTAACGCACCAACCCGTGGGTGCGAGAGAGACAGCGGCGAGAGCAGTGCTCGGAATCGGCCTGCTGGCCCTGCTGGCTGCGGCCGCCAAGTTGGAGCAGGGGCGCGGGGGCACGGGGGCACGGGGGTCGGGGGGTTCCGCGGGAGGGTCGCGATGGCTTTGGCGTGGAGGGGTCGACGGGAAGGGGTTGTTCTGTGCGCAGTGCTCCCCCCTCCCCTTTTCGGCTCACACGTGCCGTCTATACATTTGGAACCGCAATGAGACCCTGGACCCCTCCATGGCCTGGTGGCCTGGCCCAGCGCGGCCTGTGGCCCTGTGGCCCTGCGGCCCGGGCCGTGAGAATTATAGACAGCAGACTTATGCCGAAGGGGAGGCCTCCCTCTCGCACTCACGGGGCGTCCCGTAAGGGTGTGAGAGAGACAGGCCGAGGGAGACGACACTCGGAATCAGTCTAGAGCCACCCCCTCCGCTCGGCACCCCCTGCAGCCCCTGCCCCCGTCGGTGTCTGGCGGGCCGCATCGCCGCGGAGCCGAGCCGAGCCGAGCCAGCCCTCCATGCAGTGCGCCATTCCGGCGGCCCGCACCCCGCCCCTCCGCCCCCAGACCGGAGTGCCGTGTCTAGTAGACTGCAAACTGACATCAAACAAGTCCGGGGAGGGAGCCAACGGCCGGCGATCGCGGCGTGTCATGCTGGCCGCGCGGCCGCCAAGCAGGCCGTCGCTGTCTCTCTCGCACTTGCCACGTTCCGCTGGGGAGCGAGAGAGACAGACAAGCCTGCAGTGCGTGGCAGTGCGTGGCAGTGCGTGCTGGCGGCCTATGCCGCCGCCGCCCAACTATAACAAGGTGCGCAGACGTCCCGCCGCGCCGAGGCCCTCGCAGTGCCTCGCACCCTCGCCGTGGCGGCGGAGTGCGCGACCGCGGTGCGCCTCGCTGACGCCGCCAGAGAGTTGTCCGGGTGCTGGCGAGGACGCGCTGTGTTGCCGCCAGCACCGCCAGGTTGCCGCGACCCCGCGCCGCCCCTCCGCGTTTTCGGCGGCTTTGGTTTGGCGGAAGAGGGGGGGCGGGGTCCGCTCGGCGGGCCCGGCGCACGGGGAGCGCGGTGCAGCCGGCGAGTCCGACCCGGGCGACCCTGTCGCTTTTCGCTCCCGGTGCCCAACTTATAATGAGCCTCCTTTTACAATGAACGCGCCATCTGGGGGGCGCTGCGTGAACCGCTGCGCGAACCGCGAACCGGGGACCGACCGGGGACCGGGACCCGGCGCCAACCGGGCCTGGCGTGCCTGGCGTGGCGGCTGCCAAAGTTTGTCCCCGTGTGCACATATGTGTGTGGAGCGGAGCACAGCGGAGCGGGGCAAACTACTTGAGGAAGTAGCTGGCGAAAGCAATATATGAATAAAGCAGGCGGCAGGCGGCCACCGATTCCGAGATTCTGATAACGACCCACGTCTCTGCCGCCGCCAGCGTCAGCGCGTCAGCTCAGCGTCAGCTCGGCGTCAGTTTAGAGTCAGCTCGGCGTCAGTTTAGACTTAGTTTAGAGTCAGTTTAGAATCAGTTTAGAGTCAGTTTATAGTCAGTTTAGAGTGAGCTTAGAGTCAGTTTAGAGTCAGCTTGGTGTCAGCTCGGTGTTAGCTTGGAGTCAGCTCGGAGTCAGCTGGCCGTCATACTCGAGGTCTCTGGCTCTCCCGTGCGGGTGCGAGAGAGACGCACCGCTGCCTGCAGGCCTTGGGTGACGAGGGCCGAGGCGGTCCGTACTCTGTACTGCGGCCCGGGGGCAGAATTGCACCCCTGGCCGCGCCGCGCCGCGCCGCGCCGCTTGGACTGCCAGGGACTGCCGGGCTGCCAGACTGTCAGAGGTCGGGGCCAACGGGCCCGGCGAGCGGGCAGTGCGGCCTTGGAGTAGGGCAGGCTCCAAGTCCGCCTGGGTCCTGGGTGTGTCCGAAGCGGCCGCGTCGGCGTCCACAGACTCGCCGCACCGCGCAGCACCGCGCAGTGTGGCCGTTGTTTCCGGGGGCGGCCCTTTAATTTTGGCAATAATCACCCCCCTTCCCCTTCTCTTTTGTCTCCGTGGTCAGCGCCAGGGAATCCCCTCCCCTCCCCGCTCGCTCTTCCGCCCTCATTACTCGGGGCAAATAGAGCGGGGGCCAGGACGACGACGACGACGTTGGCGGCGGCGGCGCCGTTTCGTTGTTTGTCCGCGGAGGCCGCCCGGTCGGCCCGGTCGGCCCGCTCTGCCTGCCGGCGACGCGCGACGCGGGAAGTTTAAAACGGATGACAAACTCCCCGCGCCGCCGCGCCGCGTCCCCGAGGCCGCCAAGCACCCCGGGGAGGAGGAGGCTCGCGCCTGGAGGGCAGGCAGCCCAACTGCCGGCGCGCCGCGTCGTTTTGCAGCGGCGCACTGTTGTCTGTCACGCACTGGAGTGTGTGGCATGGCGTGGCGGGGCCGTGCGACTGAAATCCGCCTGTAACGAGAGGCTCAACAAAGCAAGCAGGCATCACCATTTAGCAAGCTTTGTCGTTTCCGTTTCCGCCCCACTCTCATTTGGCGGCGCGGGTCGCTCCGAATGCACGCCACGGCCTCGGCCTCTGTCGCCATGTCGCGGATTTGACTCGGTTTTAATTCGACTGACACGTCGTCGCCAAGTCCCTGTGTGTGTGTGTGTGGGGGGGGGGATTCCATCAGCCTTTGTGGCGAGTTTACTCGTCACGGTGCACCTCAGCGTCGCGTGGTTCCCCGGCGTATCTTCGACAGTTTTCGAACTCCCCTTCTAGACGGAGGCGCCCCCCCCCCCAAGAACAACAAGAAGGCCGTGAAGGGGTTGGCAGGTGAGGCTCCACGATGTCGCGTCACGCTCCCCGATAATAACTTGGGCCGAAAAAGGGACGGACCGAAAAGACGCGCCGCGGCGGCGGGGAAAATACAGAAAAAGAGGAACCAGGCCGGTGTTCGAACCAAGACTGCGTTTTCAATCGCGGCGTCGTGCGAGCCGCACTGCTCGGCGCGGAAGTTTGGCATTTCGGGAGGAGGGGGCGTGGCGTTGCGTGGCGGGGCGGAGCGGGGCGGGGCGGTGCAGCGAGGGACGCGAATGCCTAATAGGGCCTACGGTCGGTTGACAATAGGTAGCGCATTGCCGTAGCCAGCAGAGCCATGCAGAGCCCGTCCCGGGGCCCGGCAGGCAGGCAGGCAGGCAGGCAGGCAGGCAGCCCCGACCCGCATTTGGGGCATGCAAGGAAGGATGCAGCCTGCAGATGGGCCTGGATTGTGCCGTGCTGGATGTTCCCGAGCGCATTCTGCCGCCCTGCCGCTCCTGGGCCGGAGGCCTTCCCGGAGGGTCCAGGAGGGAGCCTTTGGGGCTGGGGTGCGGGGAGGCGGGCCTACGTTGGCCTGCTGCAGCCTGCCGGGGTCGCCGCCGAAGAAAGGTCTAGTCCGCTTTGTGACGATTAGGATGGGGCCTACATCTCATCATCACGCAGCCCGTCCCTTCCCCTCCCACCCATCGACCCGCCGCGCGCCCACTGACCGTGCGGGCCGTGGCGTGCCGTGCCGTGCCGGGACGGTGCGCCACGGCGCCCATTGGGGCCCATTTATCTCAGTCGGCGACCCGATAGACCGCCCGTTCTTCAGCTGGACCCCTCCACCTGTATCAGCCCGCACTCCGAATTTCCTACTGAGAAATGCCGTGCTGTCATAATACTAAGCTAATTCTCAGTACTCTACGACACAAATCTATCATAATACAAGAATTGTTTTTAATACAGAACTGGTCATAAGTCTGAGACCCCTCACCTACGTTACACCTTCGCTGTGCTGTCATAATACTAGCTTCGTTTTCGAGAAAGCTCAATAGGATCTTGGGAGTGCGGCCTCGGCAGGCCCAGCCTCGCCTAGCCTAGCCGCCCCCGCCGTGCCGTAGGTTGGAAGGGGTCGCTGGCGCTGCAGGCTGGGTCCGAGGGGAAGGTCTCTCTCTCTCTCGCTCTCTTGGGGCGTCCTGTGTGGGTATGAGGGGGACAGACCCCTCGGAATCAGGCTGCTGGCTGGCTGCTGGGGTCGGCGCTGGGCGGGCGGCTGGGCCCGGCAGTGTGCACCGTGCTGCCTACCCTCCGATTGGCAGGGGCTCGTCGTACGCCGCGGTGTCCTCAACTTGAACCTGGAGCCAATGAGTGTCCGTCCACGTGCGTCCCGACTCAAAATTTGGATCTGTCACACTTCAAAAATTTGTTGCCACTTTATGACGAAATAGTGAATGACATTTTCGCCACTTCTACAATTTTCAGCAAATGAGCTGCAGGCGTTGCACATTTGGGAAATGAAAAAAAAGGTGTGCTGCTAGCAGAGCAAGGTTTCGATCCTCGGACCTCTGGGTTATGGG